CTTCGACATCGGTTTGCGGCAATTTATAAACGTTCAAAAATGTGGAAGAAGTTACTCTGAAAGAAAAGGCAATAAAGAATAAGAAAAATGGACGAACATAAACACAAGACCTGCAAAATGCAGAAAATGTTAAAAAAAACTTAAGAATTAACTCTGAAAATTAAGATCTCTTTTTTTTACGTACAATAGAAATCACAAGAAAGTCCGCAAGACAACTTTTCATAAGCGAATTATGAAGCGAAGAATTCGTGTTACAAAATTTCAGCGAAGGTTTCTTCTTTTCATGGAATGGTTTTTAGCACATCAGAAGCTATTAATTGCTGACCATTCACGGCAATTAGTTCAAGAAGGTGAAGTATAAAAAGATTTATTTGTCATTGCATTCTATCACCTTTCAACCTGAGCGCTGGTTAATCGCATTTATTTGATCTAAGAAGCCAGTGCCGATACTTTGGAATTTCATCTGACACTCATAACGATCGCATTGCTATGGATTTGAAAATCCTTCGAAACATTGCCTTTGATACGTTAAGTTAAACACTCTAATAACCTGATTTATATAAAACGGGATTAAGAAAAAAAAACAACCAATTATGTTACATAAGAGTAATGCATAAAAAGTGCATGGGTTGTGATGTTTGCAACTTTATCGCATGGTTCACAAGCAAAATTTTTTTAAATTTCCATTTCTTAACCCCGCATAAGCACAAAAGTAAATAGAAACTTCATGTATTGTTAATTGGCATAAAACTCCCAGCCAGTTTAAGCATATTTGTCTTTGATTGCTGAGCTTCAATATTAAGATGAAAACTGAAATTTTGAGCACATATGCTCTTCATTGGTAGCCCAAGAACACCGTACAGTTATTCTTATAATGAATTTTCAAAATAAGGCGTTATGTGGGAAGTGGTCAAGGAAGTGGTCTTATCCGAATCATTTTCAATAGCCTTCGTCGTTGGGACAAAATAAGTTGGTGTAAGAGATACCATCACGAATATATCCGAAAATGTGTTGTATATGTTGGGCAAACATAAGACGGATAGACAGACAACCTACGGCTATGCAGGAATTACATATGTTATTATATCATATGTTTATATACGCATATAAAATGTGTATCTATCTCAAACCTTTCTACATGTTACATACATACGCACAAACTTAATATAGTGCTGTAGGGTACAAGAGTCAACGTAATCGATTTAATCCTTTCACATTTCATATCTTTAAAAAAACTAAAAAAATGAAAACGAAATCAAAAAATAAAAAGTCTTGTTGTCATCAAAGTAGATTCGGGAAAAAAAAAAATTATTTTCTTTTTATACTATATGCAAAATATCGAGTGACAGGGATAATAGCGATTAGGCGTAAATTGTATATTTCAGTAGTCGTGCGGCAAAAAAACTTATTGCCATAACTCAATTCCTTGACCAATATATTTTTCGCCGCATTTTTAATCGCAGCATCTTGAGCCATTGGTGTAATGAATGCTTTCTGCTTACTGCAGAGACTTACTATTAAATAAAAAAACTCAACATTTTTTCTATTAATTGAATTGATTTAAAGTTTAAAAATATAGCTATATAACTTTTCTTTATTTCCAATACGAAATGAGTTTATAAGTTTAGAAGAGACACATCCCATATATCGTTTATAATAATCATGGCCCAGAAGCTTTTGCGATTCGTTGCGACTTTAAAATAAGTGCTCACGAAAGCGTGGAAACATGGCATTTTTGATTACCTTTCATTATCTGCAATTGTTGTTTCTGACGCACTATTTAATGCTGATGTTCTTGAATACTCCATGAGTCGCCTGCCCTCATTGGGGCTGGCACTGAATTAATAATGCAATTTAAATACATTTAAATTGTTTCGTTTAACGAATTTTTTAATTGATCAAAATGCAATTTTAACTTTTTTTGCTGTTTATATTCTTATCTTTTATTAATTTCTTCTATTTTATTTAACTTTTGTTTTTTTTTTTTTTTGTTTTAATTTTTTATATATATTTTTTATTTTCGTTATTAAAACTTATATGATATGCAAGCACGCGAATACAGCTGCTGCGCTAAGCTTTAAATAGTTATAGGAATAAAAAAGCTTTAATTTTAATTTTTTAAAGGAATTTTGTGTCACACTTCCGTTTCCGTTAATAAAATATTTTATAACACATTTTATTTATTTATTTATATTTTTCATTTTTTTTTCTATTTTTTTTGTTTTTTGTTTTTAATATCTCTGTTAATTTAATATTTCACCCGGTTTCTATTCCGCTGTTCGTATATCAACATAAACAAGCATATACACGCGCTCACATAGACACACATATACAGCTTTAATATGACCGCATTTGATTCACTTTTTTTTTTTTTATTTTTATACTCTCTCGTTCCCCTCCGCTGTCACTGATACTTTAATGCAAAGCTTTTTTCGCACTGAAATGCACCACTTTTTGCACGCTTGTGAAATCGCATAGAAATTTTATGCAGCTGCGATTGCTGTTGCTACTTTAAAGCCGAAATCAAATAGGTTTGTTGTCTTTGAGCCGGTGGCCGCCGACTGGAAAATATGAAATTATTCTTGTTGTTGTCGTTGTGTTGTTGGTGATGTTGTTTTCTCTTTGAGTGTTGCCGGGTCTCAATTACATCGTGCAGCCAGAGCAACAACGATAACAACAACAATGCTATAAATCCTAAGGGAAGTAATAGCAAAGGAACGCTTGCTTACACTTTAAGCTAAAAAGGAAAAGTTTCCTTAACATTTATCGATATTTCAAATTACTTTTAAATATGAAAAAAATAAATAAATAAATAAATAACAAAACCGTAAAAGGTTCCTTTCAGTTTTATTAACCACACAACCAACTTGCACACTTGATTTAGTTGATAAATTTTCTTACATTTTTTTTTGTAATACAATTATTCTCAAAACAACGTTATTGTTTCTCTTTTTCTTTTTATTTCTTTTTTTTTTTTTTTGGAAAATTTAAAATTTTTTTATTATATTATTCACTTTTTAGCGTATTTGAGTTTAAGAAAAGAATTTTTTGTAATATTTATTTTTATTTCCTTTTCCAAGCATAACAATCTTTACACTCGTCTCAATTCATAGCACGACGGGCCCATTTGAGTTTGGCAAACTGTTTTTCTCTCATACATATATTCTTATTAAAATTATAATATATTAGTAGTTAGATTATTAAAACAATAACAACACTTTATAGGGTAAAGCATCCCCTTAAAGAACAAAACGAAAAACAACATTATTCATATATATATATATATATATATATATATAATACGAAAAAGGCATGCATGAGTATGCTCTACTCTACTCTGCTCTGCTTTGTTACACACTACTGCAATATGAAATAGTTTTTTTTTTTTTTTTTTTGCTAAAGAGATAGAGAGAGAATTTGAAAGGAAGAGCGAGAGCTGAATTTAAAAGTCATCGGTTATAGTTTTGTTAATGCAAAAAGGTAATAGTCTATATATTTTTAGCTCACGGCATCGACAAAAAAATGCTTGAAATTCTATATAAATTTATATAGACAAACTGAATGATGAGAAGCTCTGACTAATATAAATATGAGAAGGAAATCATGGAGAATCTATTAAAAAATTATCCTAAAATTAATCGAAAAATAAAGCAAAAAAAAAAAAAAAAAAACCAAGCACAAAACTTAAATGAAATAACTAAGTGTGAGATTATATAGCTTATCCTCCTACCCTATAATGAACTTATTGACAAATTATGGACCTATTTAGATTTAATCTTTACGAATAAAATCTTTTAAGGATTTGCTTGTTTCCTGGAATTATCATAGGTTCCCAAATAAAAACAAAAAATAAAATAAATCAAATTTAACAAGAGATAAGTGATAATCGCCTTGAGATCGAAATTTTTCAGTAACTTGCATACATATACGATATTCGCACGCAAGATAGCCCGATGATTCAGATATACCCTTGCAATTAAGTTTTCGATAGCCTCTAAATATTTTGCACAAAATTTTAAGATTAATAGGCAAGTTACGAGGACTAAATTATGTGGAAGTTTTATATTGGTTTTTTCATTTCATGATTGACCAATAACCATCAATTAGGTTACGAAGCTACTAAGTTTAGCTTTTTTATATTGAGTTTTAATTTAATGAAACTGTTTCGCAGGTAAAGAGGATTAATTAAATAATTAAATTAACGCAAAGCCATATTACAGCAAGTATTGCAAGTACATTTCCCTAGTTTAAGCGAAGTGACACAAAGAGAAATTATTTTCGGCTTAATATTATTATGAGTCACTGAAGGACGGACATTTATTGATTTTATCATTTACTTTATAACTCATGTCAACTGCAGAAATCATCAAGATTTGCACACGAATGTATTTTAAAAACTCGAATAACTTCAAAGATCTCATCTAACTGTTAACAAATATCAATTCGAAATTTAACAACAGCGAAAAATTTCAATGATGTGTCGATAACTGAAGCCAGAATATTATTTATCGACCTACTTTTAGATGATTAACTAAATATTATATATATATTTTTATATATATATAACGATCATTTATAACGTTGAAACTAAAGTAGATTAACGTTTACATATTTTATTTAACACGCAGGTGTTGTCCTTTTTTTCGAATTCCAACGTTTCTCTCCTTAATTGACTTACTCTCTTTGTCTCTCTCCTTCGTACAATTTGCTAGCTTTTCCGTTTTCTCTTTGCTTTCGACCCTTAAGCTTGTGTTCACCCTTTCTGTCACTTATTTATTAAGATTTTAAATTGGGTCAGGGCCAAAGCTTTTAAATACTTTGCATGATTTTGCATAGCGTTACAAACAGCTTTCAACATAATATTAATTCGGATGAAGCTTTTAAAAAATTTTGTGTATATTGCCTATGCAGCGTTGTAAAGTGCTCTAAAAGCTTATCACACAATTATTTGACTTGTTGAAAAAATCATTCATTGTTATTTGACATTTATTATATTTATCGGTTTATTCGTAGCATTCAGATGATTTTTACCCTCATTCAATTCATAATAATAAAAGAATATGAAAAGGATTTATTTAAGCGTTGATCTCGATTCCCTTATATCCGCAAATGCAATAACGGCAAAGTTAAAAACAAAAAAGACTTTCAACATCACGTCGACTCTGGCGGTGGTAAGCCATCATCTAAAAATAAAAATTAGATCACCCGTAGCGACAGCATTTTCGCTCCATTTGACTTCACCGCAAAACATTCGGAGAGGAAGAAAATAGAATCAATATAATTCTTATGTGTATTGTACATACCTATTATATATGTTTTCCAAATAAGTTTAAATTATTTCATAACTACAATTTAATTCGATTAGCGTTTATTAAAAACAACATTTAATACATCTACATACACGCTCATAAATACTTAATAAGAGTTAAAATATGCTTTAGTATTCAAAAACATTTCACTTGGAAAAATGTTAATAAAAATAAGAGAAAAACGATTGTGCATATTGTAAAAAAATAGAATGTTATAGAGTCAATAAAAAATCCGATATTATTGAAAGATGAAGGCACATAATTTCAAGAGAATTGATAGAATCTCGGCAGGCAGAACAAGCAAATCTATTTCTAACGTTTCATTTTCTCTAATATCGGTACAACCATATCAAATTTGGGCCTTTTGCCGGGATCCTCATTCATGCAGATGTTAATTAGTTTGACCATATGTGGTGAAGTGCCGGGTGGTATTTTAACACGTAAACCTTCCAAGGCTACTTTCATGCCACATTCCATAGGGGACCATTCGGCAAAGGGTATTTCTCGTGTAGTCAATTCCCACAATAATATGGCAAAACTCCACATATCACAAGCTTCCCAATTTCTTTCAGATGGTTTCCGTTGAAGTGCTTCCGGAGACATCCAGGCTGGCTGATAAATTCGACCTTTCTCTTGGAAAGAAAATTTTGCATCACCCATATTAATGCGAGCTGTTAGATCCTCATCAATCTAAAGGAAACTAAACGTTAGACAACGGCAAACTTAGTCTTATCTGAAACTTGCCATAACATGATGACTATTTAAATGATATGAGGGTATAATTCGTTCCAAAGAATGCAAATAAGCCATACCTCTGGCTATATCTAAAGCAAAACGAACCGCTTGCGAAGTATCTACCACTACACCAGTAGCGGCATGCAGGAGATTAAACAACGAACCCCTTGGCATATACTGAAATCATAACGTTCTCCACTGTAAGGCTTCTTTTCAAAATATTACTATTTTACCTGGCTAATGGTTATTAAATTTGGCGGTGAATTACAAGCTCCGATTATAGGCAAAATATTTGGATGTGAAAATATTCTCAATTTTGGAAATTCTTCATTAAAATCCCTGGATACTCGCGACGAGCACTGACGTACTGTCAGTATTTTGGCTATAACGTCATTTTTCTGCCATCTACCGCGCCAAGTTTCCCCAGAAGGCGTAACCCCTATTTTCGTATGTAAATCAAGGTCACCCATACTAATGCCTTTAAACCGTGATAGAGTGGCATCACGTGATCGTGTCTTAAAACCCAACCAGCTTTGTTCTTTAAAACTTATTTTTTTCATCTCTTGACCATTACGTTCAGCTAAATCTTCCAAACGTTTAGCTAAACTAGGCTTGGCCTTATCCAACGGCGTATCATCGTCTTTATTAGCAATCGTTACTAAAGCCCCAGCATTTACTAAATCTTCGCAAATCATATCGTAACCCCAAAAACAACTATAATGCAAAGGTGTATTGCCATGTTCATTAACTGCATTGACATCGGAACGTTCTTTCAGTAGCTAAAAAAATTTGAAATGCTTCAAATTATTATAGCGATCATGAAAACAGTCTCACCATTTGTACAACATCTCGATGACCATGAGCAGCCGCCAAATGTAAAGGGATATCATCTCCCATATTGGTGGCATTTACACGAGCTCCTCTCTGTAGCAATGTCTCAACAAGTTTAGAGTGTCCTTCCTTGGCACACCAATGAAGAGGACTAAATCCATGATCATCTCTAAAAAACAGGATAGACAAGAGCTCAAAGCAGTTCGCTGTAAAAATTACAATAAATTCAAAAGGTATCTCTCTGCAGACTCCTTTCTATAGATCAAAAAAATTTGCTAGCCTTGTGTTTTGCTCGCATCATGATCTTTAAAAAGCTCAATGACGTCATTCAATATTTGGAGGAAAATTTTTCTAGATACTTTTTTGGCTCAAAAACACTCATTTACCCTAAATTCATATCATGTTCTGTTTCATCCAGCCATAAACGCACTTGGATCGAATTGCCTTCGCGACACCAATGAAAAATATCTTCCATATTGTTTTATAAAGCAACAAAGTTTCACAAGCTAATAATCCAGATCTTAATAATAATAAATATAAACAACATCCGCCTAATGTTTAGTTCTTTCAGAGTAGACTACTAAGAATTATAGGTGTTAGTGTTACCATATTTTACCAAAATACATTAAAATTTTCGCCAATAAGAAGCTGCTTTCGAATTGCAATTATTAGAGGAAACATTTGTTTGACTAGCATCCTTTTCGATACATTATGACCTTATAGAGATATATGAAATTATTTCCAATTTTTGGATTGACTTCAAACGCATCAAAGAAAAAGGCCGTAACAGCGCATAATTGTCACCGAAAGTAGATGCTTGTTATTATCACCACTATGCAGTCACAACATTCTTTACTTAAATTATTTTATATATGTTATCTAATTTAACTTTAAGATTGTTTAATATGTTATCTAACTTAACTTTAAGATTGTATAATTTTCTTCTTATTTATTAACAATTAATTGTCAGCACTTTTAGCGCAGAAAGTAAACGTTTAACACAACAGTGTTAACCTGTTTTCGAGATGAAACTTCAAATTTGCCGTCTGTTAGCGAGACTTTCTCGAATTTGGTACATCTTCTAGTGTACTCATACAAATAGAAAAAAATGAAAAGATTACGCTTTCTCCTTAACGAAATAAAGATAATTTATTTTAGATGCAAAAATTATTGATCTAATTTATGTTTATTGCGTGTTAATTTAAACCTTTTCTACTTAAAAAAGTAGACAATTTGGTCACAGCAAAACGTAATTTTTTTACTTGTTTTATATTAGGAATATTTATTTAATGTTATTATTAGTACTTTAACATTAATATCAATGTAAATGTAAAGATAACATGATCTTAATAATAATTGGTAGTGCATAGGCCAGTAAAATTTTCTGTTCAAATAAAAATAATTAATAAGCCATCTAATCCAAAACCTTAACATTGGTATGGAAAATAGTAACGTTTGTTATATATGGTATATATATATATATATGGTTGGGAGACCTGGCAACGAGTATGGCATCTCTATGACCAGAAATAAAGATATTAAGTGCAATGGTTGTGTTATGCGATGGGCTTTGCTAAAGAAAAACAATATGGTTAGATAGTGTTTATTTACGTACATAAACTTTAATGAAGCAGTACAAAATTAATAAGGGCAGATAATTGTTTAAAAGTGACTTTTTAAAGTAAAACAAAAACGAAAAGGAAACAATATTACTTTAAAATTTAAATGTGATTATATTTTAAATAATTTCATTTAATTTTTCCTTTCTTGTTACCATCAAATTTTTTTAGTAAACGCAAAGACTAAAATCTTACCTGCTACCTTTGTCAAAAGCCACTCACGCACAACTTTCATAACTTTGCGCCATCTATATGTAAATGCACAATCAATTGATTGATTATTTTGAAACTTCGTTCGCCACGCACAACACAATCATTTTGTTTAACATTTTAGTCATTTTCTATATTTTGTCTAGTTAGGCACAGCACAATATTTTTTATTAGCCTAAGGCATAAACAACTTTTTCTATGAAAGCTTAAAAATAATACTGCCGTTCAAGTGTACGAAGTTTAATATTAATTTATTAAATTTTTTTTCAAAAAGCTTATCTTTGTTGATAGATCATTATAAGAAATACAGCAAAGAAAAATATTCGTTTACTATGTCGGAGAAATTGCTCTCTACAAAAAAAAAAAAAAAAATAAAAATAAAACTTCAATGTTTCTAAAGCTAATTCTCTAAGCTTATACGATTTGTTCTTATAGTATTGATAACGTTCTCATGCTAGCTTCAAGATTTTGCTAGAAATGGATTTGAAATGTCAAGTTATATAGTGATGGCTTGCAAAAACAAAGAGATGGCAACTATGCTTGCTTGTTTACTTGTTTCTATAGGCAAACAACGTGCGAAAATATAGTTTTTTTTAGATTTTCGATTGCATTGCATTAATTAACTGAAATGAAATTAAGTACTTATAATTTTCTAACTTCAAAAGCAATTAAAGGTGTGAAAGTTGGTTATCCTTTAAAGTTAACGGTATGTGGCTGTAGAATTCGTACGAGTTTGAAATTTTAAGGATTTATTCTTTCAGATAACCAAAAAGGATGTTGTAGAGTCTGAATTTAACCCTGCTTTTATCGAACGTTTATTACCTAAACTGGAATGGTCTACTGTACATTTAGCAGCTCAGGCGGTAGATTATTCAATATTAAATTACATTATAATAATCATTCACCTTTTCATTTATTAAGGTTGACTTACCCGATGACATACCGGCTGAACAACCAGTAAACATAGCCGGAAATGCAGAACTTTTACAAAAATTGCATCATTTACTGATGGAAATAGATATCATAGAAGGACAGTTGGAGTGTCCAGAGACAGGACGTGTATTTCCTATAACTGACGGTATACCAAATATGCTCTTAAATGAATATGAAGTTTAAATGTACTGTAGTATGAAATTTATCATTATTTTAGTCTTAAGTAATGTTATAATAATTAGTTTTTATTGAAAAAACAATTTGAAAAATATAATCTCTTTAGATTTTATTTGTCTTCGGAATAAGAGTAATGATTGCGTTGTCAAACTAATGGCAAATAAAAAAGCTATCCAAATGCATGTTTACTAAAAACAAAGCAAATGGAGAGAAGACCCGACGACGTGTGTAGCTTGTAAAGCCTCATGTGCTTTTGTAAAAATGCGGCCCTGTATTAAAATAAGCTTGTGTCATCAAAAAATATGGAATCTTTCCATTTAGTACGTTGTGAACGATCAGCCAAATGGATATGTAGGGACATAACAGCTTTTAAAACGACTTTTAAATCATCCTGGTTATATTGCACGATCTTAGCTATTATTGTTTCAAATTCAAGTGAAATGAATGTCAAATGAATTTTATTTGCTTATCGTAAGTTTGTAAGATCGCTTTTACGAAATTCCATCAATGCCGTTCACATTATGATTATGAGCTATTGGCTAGTTTACTTTTGCTGATTATTTTTGTGCTTGCAGTTCAGCTTTTTGTCCTTTACACACAGGTTGATAAAGAAAATCCAAATCGGGGAGAAGTAATTTATTGATTAATTTCGTTTCTTTATTTTAATTATTTATCATTTTAGCATAATTTTGCTTGAATTTTAAATTTATGCACATTAATAGCAGTTACTTTAATAAACAATTATATATGCATATATAATAATATGTATATACTATTAAAATTTGCTTGTAACACTTTAATTAATTAAAAAACGAAAAAAACAAAATGGTTAATAACCCTAAAAGGTATATGAAAAAAAAACATTTTTTTTTTGAAAGAAGAAAAAATATGGCAGATTCGATTCGAACACAAAAATATATATATACATTGTTATTATAGTGGAAGGGTGTAAGAATGTTATATATAGAGTTTAATTATTTTTTTCAAAGTAAAAATAAAAAAAAAAAAACTTAAAAAGAACACAACTTAATATTGCTTGTAATTACAAAAATTTTAAATAATAATATTAAAATTAAAAAACTTATATTTGTAATAATTGATTAGTTAATTTAAATTACATTTAATTTAAGATTATATTTAAATGTTCTGTACTCATTTATTATTCCCTTCCTCTGCTTAGCAAGCTTAAGATAAAACAACTTTAAATATTGTTATTCAGTTTCACTGTTAATTAGCGAGTAATAACAAATAGAAAGTATGCTTTGGCATGCATCCCACTACTTCATTATGAAATTAAAATACATAATTGTGGCAGATTTGTTCGCACAGAAATTATTAATCGAATTTCAATGTTAAATGCGCGCTGTGAACTACTCATCAAAATGCTCATGGCTTGCATCGCAATGTATATGCCCGGACAAGGTTACCTCTCCTTAACCATTATTATTATTTCGCAATTGCCTTTTTGAAAAATATGATCACCGCATACTTTTTATTTGCTGCAATTAGATGAGTAGGTAAAAATTTTTTTAATGTTTTCGTGATTCATTTTTTAGCTGGCGAGGGTTAAAATCGAAAGAGGACATTAAATAAGTGCGCGTGTGTTTGTATATGTGTATGTGTTTGTGTGAGTCTTAGCTTAGTATCTGAATTGTCCTTTCTTTCCGCGCTCATTGTGGTAAATGCGTAAAGGTGAGTAACTGCTTCCATTGCCGGTTCCGGTGCCGTTAATAGGAGCACCAGCACTGCCTACCCCACCACCACCGCCGCCACCGTTTGCAAAAGTTTGCGATGCCGATCCAGTAAGCATGTCGTCAATATGTGTCACCGGTTTGGCGGTGCATCGAGGTGCCAGTATTAAATTATAAATCACAAAATAAATGAGAGCAATCAGACAAGCTAAGACGGCTAAAGTTTCATGTAAAACGCCGGCTTGCATGTCGGGATATTTTTCATCACGTACCAGGCCAATCAAAGCACCAAAGCCTTTTCCTGCAAACGGAAATTAAGATTTACTTTATATTTATTTCATTTCGTAATTGCATTTTAAACTCACCTAAACCAAAGAACATTATAATGGCTATGGCTTGACCAGTGGCAGTTAATTTACGAGGCATTACATGACGCATATATAGTATTATAGTAATCCATACAATCCCAACGACTACCGGTTCAAGGACTTCGGTCAGCACAATAAACCATACGGCATCCTTGCAGCTTAGTGCTGTAAAACGTATAACTAGGACTGCAAATCCAGCAATAAAGATGTTCGAATGACCGCAATATTCAATAAATTTATCCAGATTTAAAAATAACACCACTACTAAGAGCAATGCGGCGAACGGTATGGCATAAGCCCCGGCAAAAGTCCACATCAGATAGCTGTGTATGCTACTCCAGAACGTACCAAAGAGAAGGCAAACCAAGCATAGAACAAATATTTCCGGTCCATATTTACGTATGGCTGACATGGGATATACTAGCATACCGGTCTTGGTGTGCCACCACCATTCAGGAGGACTTAAAGGCATATTGGAGGCAATAAGTAAAACGATGGCAGCCAAAACAAAGCAAATGATAACCAATATTAAGGCTACCATAGCGGCCGTTTCCCAGGATTCCTGATTGAAAAAGAATACATCTAAAGGAGAAATGAGCAAAACATATCCCACCGCACCCCAAGCATATTGACGACAAATTTCTCCACGTCCTTCAGAAGTTTCCCTTACTGCTACAACAATAGCAGTGTTTAACAGCGTTAACGCAGCCATAGGGAAAATATCACCCAAAATACGTATGGCCATGTAACCTCCAAGCGTGGCCTCTAAATCACCAGTGATTTTTACACATTCACTATGCGCCAAAACGCTGTCCTTGTAATCGTAAGGATTAACCACCTGGCACTCGATCATTGGTTTGCAATCACTGCCATTCTTCAACTGTATCATGTAATTGGCTTGCTGTAAGGGCACCTGACACTGGAAGCCATCTGAAAATTCGCAAGTATCTTCAGAAAAAGGAAAAATTTCAATATTAAAATGAAAGACGTACCCAATGGATAATTACACCAACCAGCACTATGTGTGTCGTTACCGTCATTTATAGCTTCTCTCATTACAGTGTCCACAAGTATGCTATCGGTATCGTCTGTGTAGACGTGGCAGTTAGTTACCTTTGGCTCCTCATTAGCCGTCTTCTCTACTAAACATAAATGCGGTGGCTCCACATACACTTTGGACGGTGCAGATTTCACTGCTCTGCTTGGTCTCGAGTGCACTTCAGCGCTTAGCAACTCACCGCCGAATTCAAGGGAGGATTCCGAAGTTTTAGCGGCACGGCGAGCCCTTAAACTTTCGGTTACTGCCCCCGCGGAATCATCTTCGTAATCAAATTCTGAACTATGTTCGGTAGACGGAGATGGTGTGGGTATATGCTCCAACCAAGGCGTATACATGTTCTCATATTTCGTAGGATCCTGACAGGCGTACGTACAATTGGTGAGATCAATGCGACCGTGCCGCTCTTTTCCGTGATGACACATGTCCTCATCAGAGCAGCGTTCTTGAAATACTATCGCTCCATTGACATCGCAACCGAAACTAACCCGTGGACGTCGAGCCTCTTCCCGTTGCACCTCGGGCACCGCAAACAGGCAAGCGTAAATGATGGCAGCAATCAATAAAAATATTGCGGTCAGTAAGCGTAGGCAACGGCCAAAATTATTCGCATTTTTTGCCGCCAATCGATCAGCCAAAGGACCGGCTATCAATGGGCCCAATATCGATACGAATGGAGCTATAATACTAATTTTGCGATATTCTTCGAAATTAAAACCCAGGAGTAAAGGTTTAATAGCATGCAAAATGTGTAAAGCCGTTATGCCTGGAGTGGGGGGACAATCGTTAAAAGCGATTAGAAGGAATACACTAAGGAAAAAAAAATTGAAATGTAATAAAACTTACCGCTTATAACAAAGAACACTACCACTTTTAAAGATATCAATGTTCTATTAATCCTCGGTTTCTGTACGTAAGCTCCCATTATGTCTCCGAATAATTCCTTTTCTTCTTATCTTGAAAATCAAATTTCAATTTTTTTTTTTTGGTATTTTATTGCCTTTGGCAGAATATTTTTATAGTGAGTTATTTCCCTATAAATTGTTTCTATTAACAGGTTATGTTAAAGACAATTTTATCGCTAAAGTCTGAAAAACGACAAAAAAGGGGAAAATGTATTATTTATCTCATAATCACGTATAAGGTTAGCATTTATTTCTTAATGTACGGAAAATGGTTTTAATTACACTAAAATAAGTAATTATTCGTTAGCGTAGCAAATAAAAGCTATGTAGTGTGTCTAGGTTCATATATAAACTTGTGGTTTGCAATATCAATTGTATCCGCAGGTTTTTTATTAATAATGTTGACTGAGATAGCTGTGCGGTTTCGTCGGCTTTTTTCATTTATTCTTATTCGATAAAAATATTCTGCTAAGCGGATTCTTGCAAGCTTTTACACGATTATACAGGCTATCCTTTACCATATAATAGATTCATCTAGGCACACTGTCGCTAAAGGACGTACAGCATGTCTGTGTATTAACTTTCTTACAATTTGCTGCGGAAATATCACAAATAGCTTCTTCTACACTGCTGAAAAATAATGATAATATGATAATGAAAATAGGAAAAGCTTTTCATCCCCATCCCATCATAGAGAGATGAGCGGTATATTTTGCAACATCCAGAAGGAAACTTCAGAGATTCTACAAAGTGTAAAAATAAATATTCTGGATCAGCATCATATTCTAAATTGATTCAAGCATGTCCGTCTGACCGTTTGGGTAATGTTTGTGTTAATATTCTTTTAGCCGCAAAATTGTAGCTTAAAAGTTCGTGTACGCAGAATTGTAGAAAATTGCAGAAAATAGATCAAATCGGTCGAAAGACACGCCTACAGTGTTACGTAGCTCTGTTTTTCAATAGGAATACAACTTTGTGTTTTTTCCTCATTACTCGTCAATTATAAAATTTGAGCGTACATTCTATGAGTGATTCTGTAGCATTTATTCAAGAATGGAAGAAAATGGCTGTGCCTACTCAATATTATAGGGTATCAAAATTTATTTATTTATAAAGCGGAGCAAGCAAGCTTCAAAAACCCCCTAAAATGTATATATTCTTGATCAGTATCACCTTCGGAATACGCATGAGTACGTCCATGTCTTTGTCTGTCAGCCCGACTGCGTAGTGTCTTTGATACAGACTTTCCCGTTTCCAAAGAGGAGGACATCGCTTACAAATTTGCGAAAGAGTTTTCAAAATGGATACAAAACAAAACTGAGAACTCGTTGCCCATAAACTGCAATAGATACCAGCCACGGTCAGCCAATATGACGAAGCAAACGCAAGCGAATATAATTTTCTAATTTGGAGCATTTAGCAGGCATAGATGCATAGTTCAATACAATATGGAATGTGAATTGGCTCGACAATTACAAAGAGTAAAAATGTTTTCTATTTATGGTAATCATCAGGGATGAAAAGCCAAAATAATGGGAAATCGCTTCAATGGAATTGGGATCGGTTTATAGTTCTCAGTATCTCAGAAACATTTTGTCATTCAGTACTAAGGGAACCTTTATACTTTATCTGCAGTTGTAAAGTCTCTGCAAAGCGACTTTACTCGCTATTGAGAAACACAAGCCGTCTGCTGAATGTGAGGTTAAAAACAATGAATCTGCAGTTAAAACGCACGGAATATATGCAGTTATTGGAAAGAAGGTATCATAACACATACACACGCACACACATATATATATATATATACATCGATGCTTTATTTATAAAGAATGTATGGGATCTGGCGATGGCAACAGGGCTTTTGCGTTATAAGAATGGACTTTTCTCTCCGTGATAGTCGAAAATTTATTTTCAGTTAAAGTGAAATTGCTTTCTCTCTCTCCTTTATAACTAATCAATGAAATTATTATCAAATATTCGTGTTTGTCGAATCTACAATCACACATGACTAATAGATAGAATTGGAAGGAATGTCCAATGGTTTTCCTAATCGATCCCTTATATACCATTATGTTTTTCTTCGAAAGCGAGATGGAGATACTTAAGCAAGTTCGAACACAATAAATTCCTATGTCGCTCTGTGACCTACACAACAAGAAAAAAAGAAGAAAAAAAGGGGAAAAACTAGAAGAAGCACTATTTTTGGTAAAACATTGCCAATCACTGCTTTAAAGAGAGACAAATTATATATGCACATACATATATATATTTAACCGGTTAACGGTTTTGCTAACGGTTAACCCAGACAATATAAAAACCAAAATCTAGAACTCCTACGATAAATCTGCTTATATTCCATAATAAATATCATTTCGTTTTATCTCATTTTTATTCGCCTACAAACCGCCCACACACACATTTAAATAGTAAAAAAATATCATGAAAATTAATCCTGCATTATTTGAGTCTGGGTTTGCAAAAGAACAGCAGTAACAGCAGCAGCAGCAGCAACAACAACAACAACACCAGCAATAACAATAACAACAAAGCAAAACTCGAGCAACAATACAACAACATGAACTTTCATACATAATTACAATACAGAGTGACTGAGTTTTTGAAGAGACTGTGATAACAATAAGAACAACAAACAACAACAATAATAATAATAATCATAATAATAACAACAACAAGCAAACTAACAAACAAATGAACAAATGAAAAGCCACATTGACATTGTTAAACTTGATCGTATTTTTTTTCTTAAATAATACAAAACAGATAGACAGAGGCAGCAGCAACATCAACACACTAACAACAGCAATAACATTAACCTTAAACTAAAGATTCCCTTTCAGTGAAATAAAAAAAAGTGAACATTCACATAAAGAGAATAAAAAAAAAAAAAAAAAAACATCAAACCTGAGACGCTTGAGATTTTTTATTTTGCTACTGTACAAACACATACACACTACAGTACATATCTTGCTTTAATTTCTCTATAAAATAATTTAAAAATTAAACGAAAAACTCTCTATGGAGATTTATAAATGTGCGTAAGCGGACCGATGGACAGACATATAATATGGATATTATCAATCCGAATAATATGCATTGTACGGACAGACATAATTTATGTTTTTTTTTTTATAGCTTAACTAGATTTTTTTTTCTTTAATACATGTTCCGCTGATCTTATTTTCATGTAGAATGAAAACTATGGGCGCACATATCTATAGGCACATATAGAAATTAATGTGCGCCTTTTTTGTATAGATGCGTAATTGATGTTGTCAATGTTATTATAATTGTCGTTGTTATTATAAGTTTTGATCTGCTCTGCTTATTTAAAAAAAAAGAAAAAAAAAAAAAAACATTCATCGAAGAGATTTGAGCAAAAAGAAATATCCAAACGAGTTCAATTTTGAAATTTATGTGAATGGTTTCGTTCGTGAATGTTTTGTTTCTCTTGGTTTGTCTTTTTTTTTCTTTGTTTTTGTTTTTTTTTTTTTTTTGTTTTTTATTGTCATTACCGATCATATGACATCATAGTGATGTCATAATTTTTATGCTCTTACAAGCAAGCCGAAACTAACTGGTTTTTCAAAACTTTTGCTACCCTCAGAATATAGGCTCGGAGCATAGGACACGTATTTAATTACAAGAATTCACATTCAATGGAGCAAAACTGGAATTGACCTTGGGTATCTGCCGTAAAGAAGCATAAATTTCAATTTTATATATCCGTTAATGACGGATGACTATATACCGGTTTTGTGATATCATTTCTGAAACACTAATGAACGAAAGGCTTCATAATCCATTGAATTTAATTTCAGTAAATCGAGTCTTCTGTGATTTCATGCTATATATGTCCTGCAGGCCCCCCGTGCAACAGAACTGACAAACATTTTATTCTTTCTGTTATTTTTTCAGGTCATCTTCTATCAATTAAAATTCGATGCCTTAATCGAAGGCCTTTATTTCGTTGAGTAATTAAGCCGTTTAACCCGTGGTTGCCTCGATCATATAAAATGAGTTTGCGGTGAAAATTGTGATTTTTCTGACCGTAAAAAATATTGATAAAAAATTCTGGTATCAAAGTTCGAATGGCCGTTAACAAGTACAAATGGATTGGCGGTATAATCTCAAATAAGAATGAGATTAAGTTCCAACATTTAACAAAGTTAGCTCTAGTTTGGGGTAAACACTGATCCCAAACGAATTACTTACATAACTATATATAGTTAAAATGCGGACTATATGGCACCATACACAATTAGTTCGCAGGATGAATATTGATGAATCCATATGAGTTTTAAACAGTCTCAATTTTCAAACGTTATTTTTGTTTTTGCAAGACATTGGAAAAGTCGAAATTTCGCTTGTAGCGTCATCAAAAGCAATTGTAACCTGTAAATTAATGTTTGGTATTTTGAGACATTTCGTTTGAAAATATTATCTAAATATTATATAGTTTCGTGAATAGTCATCTATATATACCATCCTACGAACTTATTGAGTGATGTTTTATATTCATTACAAAGTCTTGTCTTCTTAATTGAAATATAATGTATATGGGAAATATTTGCATTGGTTAGTTTAGGATACAGAGTTACGTAATCCAAATATTGCTTTTAATCTAAACTTGTGAGTATTTATGCAATTATGTATACGGATGCTTCACTTGTCAAATCGATTAACTCCGTAAAAAAAAAAGTTGAGAAAAATGATAAAATATTATAAATAAATTATTTATTATTCAGTGGCCAAGACGATTTCGTCATTTAGTGGTGTTAATACTTATTATTCGAGAAATTCGTTTTGAATATGTACAGTTAGAAGCTAATGAAGTGCTTTGACATTAAAATTTAATAAAGTTACAAAAATTGAATTAATCAATTTGGGAAGTGAAGCATCCATATAATCATTTTATATATGAACATAGAGAAAATGTTTAGTTTAAGTTAGATATGATAGCCAAATAAAATATAAGACAATTATCATAATCATGAAAATA